TGGCTGATGCTGGGACCTCACCAGTGGGCATTAGCACGGAAAGGTGGTGGTTTATCTTTGGTTTAGTGCCTGTGCTGAAGAGGCTGTGTGGATGGATGCGGATGCTTTTATTTGATACGGTGCTGAGAGCGCTTTTCCTAGAGAGCGGTGTCTCCTCCCTCCTGCCCTCAGCAGGGGCGACGTCTCCTAGGAAGCGCTTTGGAGTGCGCAAGTTTTGCTAAGGATTTCTTCCTCCTGTTATTAGGTACCTCCTTTTCTTGACCTCCTTGGGAGTTAGCGGTAGAGAAATGGCTTTGCCTAAGCCGAAAGCCGGATTCAGTGGTGTGGTGCGGCCCCCGGGGCGCGCACCAGGAGCGGGGCAGGCACTGCCACGTCCCTACTGCCGTGCAGGAAATTGCCCTGTACTTTACACTCGTGAGCGATACCAGTTTGTGCAAGTTTCTCTCTCCCTGTCTTGGAGATTGAGGAGGATCACTCTTTGGCCCAGTGCGAACAGTCTTCAAACGTGCTTGTGATAAAATAATGTGAAAGGGTGGTGCAGAAAGGCAGTGGAGAAGCAGGACTTAATACATAGGTTTAGTAACTGGAAGGCTACTGGTAGTAAGCATGGGAATGTTGCATGTTGACTATTCTTTTTGTCATCTCCGAGCTAAAGGTTGGGCACCATGTCCTTAGGATATATCCTAACATTTGTAAAAAGGCACACATCAGAGCACTAGGGAGGCTGTCAGTGGAAACAAGTTGTAAAACCTGAATGCTAGCTCTACTGAGAGGCAGACACTAAAGTCCGTAAAATAGATACTAGAAAAGTGTTAGTCTTTGGCATTTAAAAGGAAAAATGCTTAGAAAGAACCAGAAAAATCTTACAAAACTTCAGGTAGTTGAGGAGAGCTATCTTTAGTGATATAAAAGGCATTGATTTGGAATTGCATTAAAATACAAGATTCCTGCGTGCACATGTATGTACATGTGTGATTTTTGTTTTGTTTTGTTTTTTGTTTTGACCAAATTGATCTGGTTTGATATAAGCCAGGGACTGCCCAGTGATGTACCGTGTCACTGTTATATAGTTCATTATATAGTTCATTATATAGTGATGTACCATTGTCACTGTTATATAGTTCATTAAGGTCATAATGGCATTATATATCTCTCTTCTTACAGGCTATGGATTCTGAATCAAAGCACAGTTACATAGGAAGCTTTCTTCAGCCACCAGATAAAATACTTCCTGCAGCCTTTGCTCATAGTGAATCAAAGAAGTTGACAGCTGTTGATGGTGAAAGGCCTCCCATCCTCAACAACCAAGGTAAAGCCAAAATATGTCCATAAAGTGGTCTTTTTAATTGTTACATGCTCTCTAAAGCAAACTCCCCATTCTCTTTTACTGTGTTCAATGACTTGCTGTGATTATCAGACTGACATTGAGACAGGATGTATATGTGTCCTGAGGGAGTAGTCCCTGAAGTCATACATCTGGAATGGAAACTGCCGCAAGTCTTCTAACATCCTTATAAACTTTGGCTTTGAAAATTGTTTAACTTAAAAATTGTCATACTTCCTCTGAAAGCAAAGGAGAATGCTTCAAACTCAGCAAAAGCAGTTTGTGACTTTAAAACAACAACAACAAAAGTTAATTAGTGTGCTACTCTGACTTGAATTTGGCTTTGCGTAGTATTGTTTAACTCCCTCTAGCTTAAAATCACTTTTGAGCTTTTTGTGTGATGTGATTCCTTGAGAGACCTTATGAATAAAACAGTCCTTCAGAAAACAGTTATCAGTGTATAGGGCTGTGTAAAATATGGGCCCGGTTCTGTTATAATGCAAGTCATTTGCTTTCAATACTCTAATGAAGTAGCGGGGAATAGGACATGCTGTTTCCAGCCCAGATGCTCAGTCCGCTTGCAAGGCCAGATTTACTGCGCAGAGAGAGCTGCTGTGTTTGTCCCATGCCTTAGTTGATTATCGCTGTCTGGAGCTCACAGGACAAATGCTTAGTGGCTTAGCAAGTCCCGAGAGCTCAGCAAATCACAAGCATACCATGCTCGGTGTTAGTGTCATGGACAACTTTGGGAGGTTGCACAGCCATAGCCTATGTGTTCGTAAGCATTGCTCTTCTCTTTGACTTCCTCATTTTAAGACTCTGTGTTTCCTGTAGTCATTTTCTCTCATACAGAGTTTGGGGGTTCTTGTATTAAAATGTTCAATTTAACTTTATGCAGCTAAGTGTTTAAGTGAGGAAGTGTTTGGTATGCCCATAGAAAGATATTATGTGGCCTTGTTTCATCTTTTTGCTCTGTGATCTCTGACTTTTTAATTCTGGTGGAGCTGGGGGAAGCTGATGAGAGTTGTTGTGGAGCCAGCAATATTTACTGAGTATTCCTCCACCAAGAGTGTTGGTATAGGGTAAATATTAAGGCTTATCAAATGTCAGAAAAGAAGCCTAACTTGTTACAGAATGGACCTTAAGCATCCAGAGGTATATATAATTTCTGGAGAGCTAATAAACTTTTCCTTGTAATTGAAGTTGCAATTGTGACTTTATTCTTGATGTTATGTTGGCTCTTCTCTTTAGTTTGAGGCTAAAAGCAAAATCTTCCAAACTGATTTCTGTGATTTAAAAATATCATTTGATACCAGAAGTTAGAAATTTGAATCATTACCTTTTGAAACAACAAAGTTTTTAGAATGCATCCTCTAGTAAAACATTCCTTTGCATCTTTTTTTTTTCCCTCCAGTGTTATTATCTGACCAAACCAGCTACATTACACCAAAACATGTGAGCTAACTTTGATACCTCTTCTCCCTGCTTCTGTGCAAAGAGATGCTAATAGTTCTAAGTTCTGGGCTTTGTTCTATTTAAACACAAAGAAATCATAACAAATTAATAACAGTTGGAGTGAAAATAGCTTTGCTCATAGGACCTGTGCTTTATACCTCAGTTATATGGCAAACATTCTCCCCCCCCCCCCTACACCCCCAGATATGTTTTGAGTGTGTTAGTGCTTTCTTGGGGAATATCGTTCACTTTCGAGGAGATCCTAGGAAGAAAATCTAGATAGTATTTTGCTCGTTGAAGTGGTTTATAAAAATAATAAGAATAAAGAACTGTTGTAAGAGCTTAAGGTGTAACTGTTGCACTGTTTGCTAGCTGTGGTGGCAGCCCTGAAAACCCTCCAAGAAAAGATCCGCCGCCTAGAGCTGGAGAGGTCACAGGCAGAAGATAATCTGTGCAGCCTCTCTGCAGAAGCTGCTCAGTATAAGAAGGCCTTAGAGCATGAATCCTACAAAAAGGACATATCACATCAAGAACTGATGCAACAGAGGAAAGGTATTTCTCTGAGTGATAAGTAGCCACAGCAGCTCAAAGACTGCGTCATCCAGGCAGTGTTTACTTATTTTGACAAGTTGCTAATTAATGCCACCCCGCCACCACTCTTCTTTTGCTTCAGAATTGGGCTGGTGCATAGTCCTGCCTAATAACTGTAAATCCAGTTTAGAGCTTATTTTGACATATATGAATCAAGCATTGCTTACCCCATAATGCTATTTTAAAGACTGAGGACATTTCAGGTGGTATATTTAACTCCTACAATAAGCAAACAGCTGTTTACTTGGATAGCACTGCTAACTTGAGGAAAAGTGAGGGGAGAGGAAGAAACCAAAATCTGGTTAAATATCTGCTGGTATAAATCAGAGTAACTGCAGTGCTCACACCTTTGGAATTCATATTAGCTAGCTTTGGAGCTAGTCTAGCTCCAAAGAAGAATCTTGATTCTTATGTCTTATATAGGATCTGTTTTTAACCACGTGACCTGTTCAGACCAACAAAACTCTTGTTGCATGTTTTTGGAGCTAGAGAGCTCTTCAAATGAGATGATAAACTGGCTAAATGTGTAACTCCCATTGCTGTACTGAATATCTCTGCTTTTCTCTGTAGGTGTAAGTATGCAGTTAAACGCAGCACAATCCCGCTGCTCCCTGCTGGAGAAACAGCTGGATTACATGAAGAAAATGGTTTCCAGTGCAGAACTGGAGAAAAAAATGATTTTAGAACAACAGGTGAGGCTTTTTAACATAATTTACAAAGTAGTAATGTAGTACAAAACTATAGAAATGTGTAAGATCTGAACTGTTTGTCCCTCATTCTTCCTCGGCTCTGCTCAGATAGACAGCAAACAGGCAATTTGCGGTCTGACTTGCTGATGACAAATATTCAATGAACTGTACAAAAAGACTCCCTAGGAATTCCTAATGAGCAAAACTACCTGCGTATTTGCTAGACAAAGAAGCTGCTGGAAACTTGAGTCTTCTTTATCTGCCTAGTATTTGTCATCACTTTGCTATTTTTAAAAATATAGAATTTAGACTAGGTAAACATCTTTACTGTAGAGAGTTTACTTTTTTTGCTGTCTGAAGCAATTTCAGTCGTCTGCCAACTCAACTTCTGCTTGCTTTTTCCAGACCCAGCTTCAGAGAGAGAAAAATCAGAACCGGGTGGAGTTGCATGCAAAACTTGAAAAGCTTGAAGTGCTAGAAAAACAGTGTCTTAAACTTACTGCTACTCAGAGGATTGCAGAAGTAAGCAGGCATGAACTGACCGTCTGAAAGTCATTCATTTGACATGATTTATATGGCATACTGTTAATAGTCCTAAGTTTTGCAGAAATTTCCTCTGCTAAAGCTAAGATAATAAAACATACCTTGTTGAATACCTCCAAACTTGGCTTCATTTCTGTAAGTCTGTTTTTTCAGTCTGGGCCTTAAAGATTCCTACAGTGCTGTTTTATCCCAGATTACAATTGCAAGCAACTTCATACTTCTGATTCTGTGTGACAAACTGAAATTTGACTAAGCATTTTGCCTTCAACTTCAGGACAAGATCAAACACTTAGAAGAAAAGCTTTGCGAAGAAGAACATCAGCGCAAGCTAATACAAGAGAAAGCTGCTCAGGTAGACTGGAAGGGTTTTATTTTATCTTTTCTTATTACTGAAGGAAGTTATTCTCTCTGTCCTTTTTTATGACTCTTACATTCCACATGATTATTATTAGTAGGAAGAGCGGCAATACTAATTGGACGAGGTATAAACTATGTAGTAGAAAGCTTGTCTGGTGTCTTGCATGTCTTGCTCAAGGAAGATTCTACTTGTCTTTTGTTAATAATATAGTTCATCAGGCACAAAGCTGCTGTAAGTGATCTGAGTAGAAAATGAATTTCTAAAGAAACTGCAACTAAATTAGGTAACCGTAACTTACAGGAACTAGAAAGTGGGTCCATATAAGAAACCTGAGTAACCCAAGTAAGGTTGGTTGTTGTGTTTGTCTTCCTCTTTTGAAGATTTGCTGGAATCCAATACATTGGACTATTCTTGGAAAGCTCTTAAATCAGTGAAACTGTTACACTGTGTGTTAAATGAGAGTTTGAATAATTCACTGTTCTGTGAGTTCATAGTCAGTCCTTGGGGGATCACCATCCAACTGAGAGAGGAATATTCCCCAAAGAGAGCAAAATCAAAGGAAAACAATGACCTTTTGTTAAAGGAGCAAAGTAGCTTCAGGAGTTCTAAAGCTCGCTTCATTGAGAAGTAGCAGCCATTGGGAAAGAGGGCAGTTTGTGGTGATGTTCCCTGGGGGAGAATGCAGGAGCTGAAGAATAATATTGTAAGAACCTAGCTGTAAACACAGCTGACAGCTTAAATTAATTCATCATTGCAGTCACTTTCTATACCTCTTCCAAGGCCCATTGGCTTTCATCAGTCTAGGAACCTTGAAATGACATGCAGAGTGTAGCCCAGATACGTGACCACCTTCCAACAGAATGGCCCAGTTGAAAACTTGCAGGTTTGGGGGTTTCTTGAACTGTTTCTGCCCCCACAGACCAGAAAGCCTAGTATGGAGATTTTATCTTCTGAGAAACATAGCAAGAACAACTTTCCCAGAGCAAATAGTCTGACCTTAGGAGTAGTGTAAACAACTGTTCAGGAAAGGACTTTAGTGTAGTAAATTGAGTGCTAAACTAGTATTACTCCTACCTAGGTTCACTGCAGGATTGATTTAGGTTTATTGGGTCTGGGTTGGGAAGCATCAAATGTACTGTGACTGCTTCAACTTCCTTTTGACAGAAGAGCCAGAATAATCTCTCTTTACTGGGTCTCATAGCAGAAAAATATATCTGCTGCAGCTGGATATGAAAATAGGAACCTGTAAGACAGGGCTGCAAGATCTGCCTGATATCATGCCATCCTAGTAATGTATTCAGTTTTTAAACGTAGGTTATGCCCCTCAAACAGAACAGTTAGTAGTGCCTGTAATTGATTTTCATCCATGCATGAAGGAGGGCATTACTCAGACCATGTGATTTCAGACTGCTAATATTACAGTAAATAGTTATTTTTCTGCTTTTTCCCACAGCTTCAAACAGGATTTGAGATAAATAGAATTTTGTTATCTTTGGCTTCATCTCAAAATGAACTGAAAAAGAAAAATAGAAAGAAGAAAAAAACTAAGAAGGTAACACAAAAGTTTGTCATTAGCATAATATTGCTGATAAGATCTGACTTCTTATAGGAATTTGCGAAAAGTGGTGACGCAAGGGGGCACTTGATTTGTCTGCAGTACTTTATTCCTTTCTAGAGGGAAGAACAGTGCTGAATGCCTCTTCTTCTTACCCTCCCCCCTGCCCCATAATTAAAACTGGGGTAGGGCTGTTAGCATCCTCACCAGCATGACAGCAGTCTCTGTTACAGTCTTGCTGCCTGCCCTCTTGTCCTGTCTTAGCTGCTTTTCAGTTTACCTAGCAAAATTAGTTCCCGAAGCAATTTGAACTAAGCAATCTTAAAATGTTATGGGGGTAATGCTGAAATCAAGAGAATTCATTTAGCAACACATGTTAACAGGGTGTCAAAATTATGCAACTCTGATTTTGCAAACTTACGTAAGCACTGCCCAATTTCTAATGTCAGCCTATTTGTCAAACTATCTGCTAAGTGCATCTGGAATAGAATTTACTTAGCTGTTATTGTTAGAAAATCCTACTACTTCCACATACAGGAGGGAATTCTTTTTTTTTTAAGAGGGAAGCTGAGATACTGAGATGATGCTTTTCACTGCTTGTTTATTTGAATTTTACTTTTTTGTAGTTTTTGTAAGTTTAAGATTATATTGTTGGGCCAGCAGATTGGAATTTCTTGTCTTACTTTTCCTTTCTATCTTATGGCAGAAAAATCCTACTGTGAAGAGAATGTACCTTCCGCAATTTAATGTAAAGGCTGGTGTGCTACCTTTTGTGGCTGGGAAGGTGAGTATAACTAAACATTCTTACTAAATTGGCATCTATAGTTTTAATAAGTCTCTTCATTGTAGTTGTTTATCACTTCTATAAACTACTTATTATCACTCCTGTAAACTACTTATTAATTCTTCTTTAAGTCTGCCAGCTCCAGCCATTCTGTTAGTGCAAACGTACAAAGTGTGTTGCATATTATGAAGCATCGCAATCCTCCTTTCTCATCGCGAGGCCAGGAGGGAGCTGCATCTGGGATTTCAGGACAAACTGTTGCTTCAAAATCTGTATCTTCTTTTTCTACAATATCTACTGCCACCAGAAATCTTTCTGACCTTCTTTTGGCCGTGGAAGATGAGCTGGGCCAAATGAGTTTGTGAGTACTCATCTCTGGTATTATAAGTAAAAGTGACTTCAGTTGTGGAAGTGACAGGCATGCTATACTTGAACCTAGCCGATGCAGGGTGTGGGGCTACTTGTGGGGAGAATAGTCTGAGCAGGTCTGATTGGTAGGATTTTTCTCATTTGGAAAATTGTTTTTGTCCTGCTGTTTGACTGATCTTGAGAGCAAGCAACATTCAGTTGGGTTTCTTCTCCTTCCACATCCTGCGTGTAACTCTGCTGCTACTAAGGTTAACAGCTGCAGCAAATGAAAAATCGCTCAGGCCTGCGCTTTTTGGAATTTTTAAACATACTATAAGTTCTACCAAGTGCGCCAAGAATGTTCTCCTGGAGAAGGCTGCAAGGGTTGTGCTAATATTGCGTAGTCCTGCAACAGGCTGTCAGTTTGGGTGATAACATAGGTTATTGCAGCTGTGGTAGGAATAGTCCTGTCACAAAGTCTACCCTATGTTGCTGTGTCCTCACTCTTTCTGTGTTCCCTCAACATGAGCCTGGCGCATATCTGATGGGTCTTTGTGCTGAGACACTCTGGGGTTTGTTCCTTGTCAATAGCAGGAGAACTTGCTAGCCCTGCTGGCAGCCCTGTAATGGGGATGCGAAAGAAGGACACTTTCCTTCCTCCTGACCAGAAAATGGGCAGGGCCTGGAGAAGCTAAAGCACAAGACAGGAGTGAATGTATCTTTCTAGCCTTACAAGTAAATGTGCATTCCAAGTAGTCATGTTCTTAGCCATCTTCCCATTAATACAAGCTTGAACTGTGGGCTAAAGCAACGTAGCTGGTTACAGTAGTTGTGGCACTAGTCATGACAACCAGATGTGTACTTTTGGTCCTGGGGCAGTTCTGCCATACAGAGCAGAGTTGGTCAGTCTGTCAGTTCTACTCACTATATTAAGACAAACTGTTGAGATTTCATTCCTTTGTGCCCTATCCATCAGGGGAACAAAAATATAGACGGTCCAATTCCTGTACCAACTGGCTTAAGCATCTTTTTACATTAGGGAAATATTCAAGCCTTTTATTAAATTAATGTTTTGTTGATTGCAACTTCTCAATGTTTCAACAAGTTGAGCTGTGGTTTGAACAGAGGAGTATGTTGGTTAAATCGGTTAGGATGTTAGCACTGGTTTGAAATCCTTGATGTTCCATTGGCACCTGGTTAATCCTTGGTACTCTGGGCTTCCCACGTATAATCCAAAGTGTGTATTGACCTTCTATATGCGTTTCCAAATTCACATCTTAATACTGAATTAAGGGTTCTAGGCTCTCATCTTAGGAGCTGTGGCTTAATTTATCCTGGCAGCCAAATCTTTTCCTTGAAAAGCACTGGTGGGTTTACTAGTAAAATGGCAATGCAAGGGCAGGGACCATTTATTTATTTATTATTTATTTATTTTTAATAGAAACAACCAGTCACTTCAATTAAATTGGCAAGGAGCAACGATTTACTCAGAAGTCAGAAAATAAGCCATGATCTCTGGAAAGAGATTATTTATCGAAGGCCTTATTGGGAGGTCTTTTATTTGTTTTTGACTAGTACAGAGATCCAGATGTCAAGTAGCTTTAGACTATTCTTTTTGATTAGTTCAACAAAGCAGCACACCTTACTGCTAATTTTTTTGAGCAGAATGTTTTAGTTTGAATGATCTGTCAGAAGAACTATGACTTAAAATGAAGTAGTATAAACAAGGCTTTTCTTTTGTACATTAAGCGTTCAAAGTCTGCACTAAATTGGGCAGGAGGTGAAAATACAATATTGCGTAGCTGCTATTGGCTTCTGTTCACTTTCCACATTCTCATTTTGCATAGTGGTACACGTGTACTTGTTATGATTGCAGCTAGTGGGGAGGAACAAGATGCACATCAGCTAAAAATTTGGAGTGAGAAGATCAGACCCAATGGAAAAACTTTTCCATTTCTAGTTTGAATATATTCCAGATGAATGTGTGTAAGAGGGTAAATAATGCCGAATTGTTATATTCCAGAGGAGACAGCTAGCAACACATGCAGTACATCAAAAGTATTGGAGTAAGTCCTTGAGGCTATATCATCAATACCATTTTTTGTCTTTAATAGTGAGCATCAAGAACTCTTGAGGCAGATACAGGGAACTCATAACTCTGAAGTTCGTGAAGACCTAGAACGGGAATTGGATTGCCTTGTAAAAAAAATGGAGATTAAAGGAGAACAAATATCCAAACTGAAAAAGCATCAGGCTAATGTAAGAAAAAATGTAAGCTGTCTAGCTTCCTCTCTGCATCCTGCTGTCATTAACTAAAATGTCACTGGAATGCTTAAGCTAGGGTGATCAAATACGGGTGACTAAAATTAGGCTGTTAGCTCTATGTTTTTGTACCTCTAGTCCCTCCCTTTGATTAAAAAAATGTGCTTACGGTTGGCAGCCAGATGTGTATGCTAGTGGGAAAACTTCTGGTCCTGGGGCACTTCTGCAGTACGGAACAGGGTTGGTCAGTCTGTCACTTCTGCTCACTGTCTTAAGATAGACTGTTGAGATTTCATTGCTTTGTGCCCTATCCCTCAGGGGAATGAAAAAAATAGAAGCTCTGATTCCTGTACTGACTGGCTTAAGTGTCTTTTTGCGTTACGGAAATGTTCAAGTGTTTTATTAAACAAATATTTTGTTGAATGAAACTTCTCCATAATCATAGTCGGACAAGCCTTTGTCTCTTTAACCCCTAAACTATATGCATCCTGACAGTGTTTGTTACAGATCCATAGGTAACAGAATATATGCCCGTATAAAATCACTGTTCTGTAGATGAGCTGCTTAAGACTCTTGTAGCAGCTTGATCTGGAACATGTGATATGAAAGACAACCCATAGCACCATCTGATATTTTTCTCTTCCTCCATCTGATGTTTCAGGATGAATAGGTTCACCTAGGAACTTTGCTTATATAGGAAACAAAACAAAACTCTGTGTGAGATCTTATGGAAAAGGAAGGTGATATTTGATATAAATAAAACTATTTCACTTGCATTCATTCTTTGATTAAATTTTACACACTTAAACTTTTTTTATCCACATGCTTGCAAGCACCGAGAGGTTTATGTCAAAATAGTCTTGCCAGGGTCACATGTTAGCAACATGGACATGAGACAGTGAGAACCCGGTAGTCAATGTCCTTTTTGGGTTCCTCTTGCTTGGCAATGACAACTGTTTTTCAGATAAATCTCACAGACTCTTGAGCCAACAGTTATTATGGCATGATTCTCTGCCTCAGAACGTTGCTGACTTCATCCTCCATGAATCTTAAGACAATGGACAGCAACAGCACCTTTGTTTCTTCGTTTTGCATGACCTTATGGCAATGGTGGTTCTTCTTCTTGCTTTTTGGGTTGATAGGAACGGGAATGGCACATACAATGTGATGCAACCTTGTCATCCTCATGTTTTCAGAGTGCAGATCTGCTGGCAAGTCATCTGTGCTGTGGTGCAGCTTTATCAGAGCACATGCCTTCTGGTCATGATTTGAATAGCGCATAGCTGCTTGACTGCTGTCCATCATGCCCTGGTCATCAGTACAGGCCACTCCTGTAATCCTTGCTCTGTATTGTTTCTTCTTGGGCTTTCACACACAGACACTTCCATTTGTATTTTGTACTGGCCAATCTTCATATTTCTGATACAGATTTCTATATTTAGAACATGTCACACTAAAAACACTGTAGCCATCTCTGTATTTCACAGTTAAGAATACATTCTTGAATGCGATTAATCATTTATAGAAATGGACTTAAAGCCTAAATTGGCATGTGGAACACTTCCAACCAAATGTTATTTTTGTCAGTGACCTTTTCATGCCAAATATAAGTTGAGGCATACTATTGACATTTTAAAAAAATTCCACATTCTGCAGTAATTCAACTGTATTTATTCTGTTTGTGTGTTTTGCTAGGGGGCTTCCAAGTGAACTACTTAGATACAGTAACTGATAATAAATTGTATACATCTTGTAGGTTTTTTTTTTTGAGTAGTAGCAGCAGTAGTACCATCTGAAATGGAAAAAGTCATAAATAGAAAGTGGTGATAGCAGATACTATTCAGGCTCTCCTAAGCAAGCATTTATGTATCTTAGGGAGAGTATGTTTATGTGTGTGGGAAGTTCAACAGCCTATTGAATGTGGGTGAGGTCAGTTTTTCCCTAATGATTTCTGTTTCAGCAAGGCAATTGTACATCAAATTAGTAGGTTTCAACATTTTCAATGTATCTTCTGAATAGGTAACATTCTGTTGGTAATCTTTCTTCCTAGGTCCAGAAAATAAAGCAAAAAACTCAGAAATTGAAGCAAGAGGCAGCTCATGTCAAACTAAAATGTGGTGACCAAAAGGAAACAAAGGAAATTCCAGTTGCTATAAGGGAAAGTAGGTCTAAGGCTTGTCCTGGGCAGAAAAGCAAAAGCTCTCTTCAGCTGTTAAAGAATGTGCAGAAACTTCAGTGGACACTGAAAAGAGATGATATCATGTGGGAACAATAGTTCAGAAATTTGCCGTGTTAAAAGTCTTTGAAGTTGCCTAGAAGCTAATAAGTTTTGAATTTCACTAAGTGGCTTTTAAAAATAAAATAGACATAGCATTTCACATTCTAAACTGCCTAATCACTAGTAAGTCAGTTTGTTCAGCTCAAAATTAACTTTCATGTAGCATGACTGTAGTTCCATTACACTGACTTGTAATAAAGCATTTTTAAGGTATTAATGGGGTGCTTACTTATTAACTTGTCAAATAAAATCTGATACCTTTTTTTACACTTAAAATAATACACAATCTGTGGATTCCCCACACCCCCAAAGACACTCAGAGTTTACTTTTCTAGTACAACCTGGACCAGTGCTCCCATTCAAATAAAAGGAGTGGGTTTTTTTTATCTCTGACTAAAGAGTTGGATCATTGCAACTGAGGCTGAAAAGGATGTGCTGTCTCATATTTAGATGCATGATTATTATTAGTACTCTGTAAGCTTTACTGACAGTGTTAATATTAAAAACAGCTAGTGTTGGAAGCACAACTGAACAGCTCTTTGGCTTTACATGTGTAGCCCTCCCCAGCTCCTAAAGGCCAGCTGCTTCATGGTAAATTCCTATACACAGAGTCCTGGTGTTTGACAAGTGTGAAGTGGCTATATAAGAATACACGGTCTTAAATAGCTTTCCTTGTGCCCCTGGCTAGAAGTTTGCACAAATACCATTAATAAACTGATGTGCTTTCCCGCTGGGAGCTGCAGCATTTGTAGGCTCAGGACTTGTGATACTGAATGTGGACATGAGAAGGAAACAAAAGATTTAAGGAGCAGCTATGGGGAAGCAAATGGCAAGGAGGGAGACCTGTGAGTTTTTTGGCTGGTTTGGAGTCTTTCTTCCTTTCCAAAGCAGTGGTTATAGCTCTATAGCATTTCTTTCTCTCATCCCCCAGGATGGCCCAAGAAAAAAATAATTTAATTTTTCTGAAATGGACTTGCTGTATTGCAAGTGCCTTTCAGTATACAGCTCCGCTAGCTGTAAGAGTAGAGTGAATGGCACTGTAAAACCTTCAGTAATTTCCTAAAGGTTCAATTCTGCCTTGAATGAGGCGTGCTTACAGCTAAAGCATGAAAACACCCCTGTACTCATGCTGATTTTTCCTGAATGTTCACATATGCTAGAGAAAAACAGCTGCCTTGGGACGGATCAGTGAAATTCTGCTGTCGGTCTCTGGTATGAAAGGGACATAGCGGTCTTTTCAAGTCCTGTGTAGGTCAGACAATAAAAATTAGAGACGTGCTCTGTTATCAAGGGTTTTGAATAAAGGCTAATAATAGTGTATAGTCCTAATGGAAAGTTGTTTTTTTGGGTAAGTTTTGCTCTGGCACCCTTCAAGAGAAAGATTGCGAAATTTTTCAGACAATAATTTAAATTTAGAATAAACTTTTAATCTTTAACAGAGTTCTGTGCTGGGGCTTTTTATGTGCATGATGTGGGTTTTGTTTGTTTATTTGTTTTGGGTTTTTTACATGCCCTTAACATCTTTATCAGAGTAGTGGAAGACCAGGTTGCTCAACTGCTATTTGGGGACAGATTTTCCCATTCTATTTAAAACTGTCTAGACATCTATCTTGTTTATGGATTTTCTCTAGCCTAGAAAGATATATTGTACACTAAAGGCACTTAAGTGTACCTCTAAACATTTGTGTAAAGGTGGCCCCAAGACTGTTTTTATTTGGAAGATGTCTAATCAGTGTTTGAAACAGCATTTCAATTATTTTCCTGGCATAGATAGAGCTTCTGAGGTAGGTGTATGCATTTCTAGACACTGGAATCACCAATAAGGGAGACAGAAGAAAAGTAAGTATTTCTTCTAATAACATTTTCAAATTGTATGCCTTCTGCTGCCCCAGGATAAACTTTGACCATTCCTAGAGGTTGTTAGATAATCTCTAAAGCTGTGTATGCATTCAGGCATGAAAGGGCTACATCATGTCCTCGGCAGCCTAAAGCATTGCATCTGATCTGGAGATCCAGCCTAGACAAAATCATCAGAGATCGATGGAGAGAGAAAAAAATTGCCAGCGTGTTACCCCAAACGCATACAAATCAGGTGAATAACTTTTCACGGTGGCAGCTCAGTGCAGGAGGTTGCTATAGGGACAGCGGGGCCAGCCCAGGCAGGGAGGTGGCACGTGAATCAGCTGTTCCCTCTGTGCCTTGATCTAGTATTTTTGTTGACTATAGCAACCCAGGGAGAGGAGGCCATTTGGCGCTACAACTGGAGAAGGAAGACCTGAGCTCCTCGCTCCGAGAGGGTGCTGTTTAGTAGCTGTGGTGGAAGGCTGGCACTTTTGAGACAGTTAGCCAGGTACTGTATGGGCCAATACTTAAATGGCAAAAACACTGAATAGTCAGTCTTCAAAATGTGTGTGTTCGAAAGAGCCCAGAATAAAACTGTTTTGTTTGCCATTTTGTGGGGTGCATGGATAGAAAGAAAGGGAAAATACCTAAAAACTAGTCCTGTTGACAGCTAGTTAATTTGGATCTTTGGCTGACCTCACTCAGAGCCTGGAGCTATGATTTGAGAGGGGAAAATATGAATGGTATATATTATATGAAGGCTTGTACATCTCTTGTATTTCAACTTGAAAGATTTCATTGCATTTGAATAATTTCTTTACTATCTGTCTTCTGGAATTTTGTTTCTCTAATGTGTGTGTTTTCACACAGTGAAGCCAAGTGGAGGCACATCAGTATGGGCTGAGAGAGTCCAATTGGATATAAAGTAAGTGCAATCAAAAATTAAAAAAAATTTCCTTAGCTTGCAGAAACACACAAAACTTGTTTTCAAATTGTATCTCAGTAGTAGGGGGTGGGGAGGGGAATGTAGAAGACCAGCTTATGTGTTTATTTATTAGCATATTCACAATCTGAGGCAATTGTCAGCCTCGTAAGATAAGTCTTCCAAAAATATGCAGCAAGGAGTAGTTAGGCAGAAATGGCAGCGGTGCAGTTAACCTTGTACGTTTACTATTTGCAAGATTCAGGTTCCAAGAGACTAAGGCGCTCAGATTGCAGCGAGTTTTGCTGGGATCTAAATGCTTCACTTCTTTTGCTCTAAAAGTTCTCAAGCCTAGAACTCCATAAAAATATATTTAGAGAAAGCGTAGTGGTTAAAGAAGTCATCTTTACAAGAAAAATATGTTTTGGCATAATAAGTGCTTGCTCTGCTCTTTCACAGATCCTTGTTTTGATTTGTATCTTCTATGGTTTTGTTTGTCTTCTCAGATGAAACTGTACTTGTTTTATAAATGTTTTGAATCTAACTATAAAGGGCAGCAGACAAAAACATGCAGTGCTAAAAAAGAAAAAAGACTAATTGGTTTATTCACTCCAAATCCTAGTTCTTTTATGCTGAGTTATGCAAAATTGCCACAGCAAGAGTTGTCATTGACAACAGGTTTTGTTAGTATTTTAATCTAAGTTCGTGTTTTATGCCTGGATGTTAAGGAAATGGGACAAAAGATGTAGGTCAAACAGTATAATTAAAAATACAGAACTGCAAATTTTGTCCAACAATAGTTCACTTTCCTGCTGCTAATGAAATATGCTAGCACAAATTAATGGCTTGTTACTTAAGCCTGCTGGAAAGACTTTGTCCCAGTACAAAAGGCATTCAGTTCGAAAAAGTGTGTTACGATCTTCTACCCAGCAAAACTAGAGGTTGGACATAGCCATAAATCCAGTGTGTTCTGGGAATAGAAGCTGGCAAAAACACTCCTAGAAAAATTTCAGGGCAGGATCTCACTGGGATTTGAATCCTGACTAATGTAACTAACTACAGATGTTTGTGTGGACTGAAAGATCTATTGAAAGACGTTCCTGGCATAAGAATACCATACAAACTCATGATGACTTTTATAGCAGAAAAACAAGGAAGTGAGGATAATAAAACATTTGCTATTATTTCTGATGAAGCATTTTCTATTTTCTTCAGCTTGCCTGTCTTGAAATGGGCAAGGCTGCTTCTGCAGTATCCTCTGCTGGGGCATATTCAAAGCTTCTTTAAGTCACTTGGGTTGGGATCCTAGCACCCACCTGACGCCCTCCATAGGCTGCCTTTATGGTTCCCATAGGCTGTCGTTACTCAGCAAAGAGAAGCAACCATTTCTGAAAGTGTAATGTATCATACCCTAAAGTAACAGCTAAAATAGAGCAGATGAATTTTACCCCAAATGCCTAGGTCCCTTTACTGACTCTAAAGGAGTCCAGGGTGATTAGCTTAAATGAAGATACTTACCTTGTTCAAAGAATTTGGTTAGATAAATTCTGATCCAACATGGAACTCTTTCCTTTAATTTCTAGGAATTCTGGATTAGCTCCTTAAAATTTTTGCTGATGTAAGTGCTGTGTAGGTATTGGGCCACTGATTGGTTTTGAATCCAATGTATTACACTGCATATGACCATTTTTCCTCCTGTTTGTCATGTCGGCCTCTTGTGCCTTGGCCTAAATGTGGGTCCCTTTCCTGAGAACACTTGTACCATAACTTTCCCCTTATGAGTGGTCTCACTGATTTGAAACTGGGAAATCAGGATCGCAGTGCTCTGTGGTTCAGAAAAAGACATAAAACTGCAAGGACTATATGGGTTATTGAGCCCTTTCCTTTACCATCATATAGGTCCTGCTCTTTAATTTTTTCACAAACCTGTTGAGTTCCATCTTGACACTAGGTGGGGTTTTTGTCCCCAGTTCTTGTATTGTAAAGCCATTGTAAGATTTTATTTGGCTGGTGCTTAAGACGGCTTCTTTTTGCAGTCTGAATTTATTTATGGGCAGTTTTACTATTGCGCCAAAATTCATCTTTTAGTTTAAACAGTTTCCTGCTGTTCTTTTCTCTGGTGGTTCATAGTTTTTATGGGATCTGTTAATGTACCCAAGTCTTTTTTCTAGTCTTTTAAAAAAATCACATCTATATGGAAGGAATCCTTATTAGCCCCATTAATACATAAGTATGATAGATACTATCATATCTAGTCTGGACTGAATCATTTGTGGTAAATATTTTGTATTTTGTCTATTGGCATCCATGACTTTTTTCCTTCAAAGTTTGTACTAAAACCTTGCATGCAATTGGGATTTCATTAATGGTCCTGTAATTGTTACTGTTTCCTCCTCCCTTTTTTTCCCTTTGCTCATCCTTCTCCACCCTTTTTTTTTTTTAAGTACATCTACTATATCTTTGCTAGCAGACCTCAGTTTTCTACATTGGGCCTTTGGAAATTAAGTTAGTCCCATGTTCCCAATCTGAATATAATAAGCTATCCAAATTTTGCTTCATCCTGAGAAATGGTAATTTATCTTTCCACTACTTCATTCCCCTCAGCTGTATCCTAACTTTTAACTCCATCTTCTATATCATAGCCCTTTCTGAAAAATAAGAGCTAAATCATTCTCTTTAGTTTTATAGCCATATCTGACATTTGTGTGTGTGTGTGTGTGTGTGTGTGTGTGTGTGTGTATGATGTATGTATAAGCACCATTTCTTTTCTCTTAGATCCTCCTTGTTTATAAGGCTGAAGAACTGCCTGCTCTTCATTTTCCTTTGCAATGTTTAATTTAATGACTTCTGGTATTTTTTGCTTCAATTCTAGGCTTCCTGGCTTTCTGTTTTTTTGGTCTTTTCCTTTTTTTTGGTTCTCTGCCTACTCTTTGATCAGCTCTGTCATCCTTTCTTCCAAACACTTCCTGCCTGCTTTTATTTTGAGTGCAAGTTCTGGTTAGCTTTTGCACCATTGATTTACAGACATTCCAGCTTCTCTGATGTTAAAATCTTTGAGGTATTAGTTCCATTTCAGTTTGCTAATTACTTTTAGTAAAATAATAAGTAGTAAAATTTGTATTTATTAGTCTCTACATTAGTCCTTCTGGACTTGAATACTTTTCATACATATCTGTGTTTATTTTTCCTTTCTAATCTAAGTTAAGATGACTTCTGTAGTGTTCACACTGCTTACCAAAACTGTCTGAAATATCATCTCAGTTCAGTGACCATTTGAAGACATTTGTAGAGTATGGCAGACTTTTTTTTTAAGTACTAATCTAGTAAAAAATTTTTTTTCATTCCCCAAGGTAAATCTAATACAAATAGATTCCATTTTACCTGGGCTAGCCATTCTTAAATCCGTTCATTCAGTAAAATATCATATTCTTCCATAACCTTTAGCATAAATTCAGTCTTTCTAAAACATCTAATAACCTGCTGCCAAGGTGTGGCTGCTACACCCCGTTGCTTATAGTATCCTGATTCAGCTGATTCTGAGTCAGCTTCACCTCTTATGTCACCAGTTCAAGTTCTCACCTGGGCCTCTGTGTTTAGTGTGTGAATATACTGGTTGCTTCTCACTGATTTCACACAGGTTCCTGGCTGGGTTCAGTAAAATCTTTCCGTTCTGATTTTTATCAACAGTAACACTTCCTTCCTCATTGTAGTCATCCTATCCCTTGGTGTTTGTATCCTTGTTTACCTGACTTTCCTCTTTTCTCAGGTGTGAAATCCAGGTGCAGAGATCTGAATTCTCTGATTCTTTCCCTCAGTTGCCTAGTTTGCAGCTCCTGTTATGAGCTAGGCCGATCCAAATACCAGAAGACAAGAATTTATCCAAGACCTTGGGATACTACCTGCCAAGAAGAACTCAAAGAAGGTACACCCTCCAAGTTTTTTATTCGGCCTCTTGACTGTTTCCTGTGTTTGTCACGTCAGACCTATGACTGGCTCAATAGCTATTATCTTTCACCGCTCTTTTATTAAAGAAAAAGAAAGAAATTACATGTCCACAGCTGCCAAACAGATTCTCCAGACCACTGGGAAATAGATGCTACAGATTGTTATGCAGCAGTTTTATTACAAGTGAACTTGCCACTTTCCATCTGCCTCCTCAAAAGAAAACCCAAACCTTTCTGCAATGACTTGCTTCTTCCCTTAAAAAGGCAACTCCCAGCTTTCTAATAGGTTATATCCCTAACTGGCAAGTGAATACAATGAGCATAATTCCAGATGTTGGGAAGAGAGCGTGGCTACTGGAGAAGTTCTCACAAGTCAAGTATTTCCCATTAGCACTGAGAAAGTTGTTATTAGTGGATTTTTTGCAGATAGTAAATTTGTCAAAAAGTTGCACTTTTTGCCAGTTCTTCCACTCCTCTTATTCTGATCAATCTCTTCAGCTAAGAAAAATGGGAGAAAATGGGTTTTGAATGTCTATTTTTTTTTTGTTTGGGAAAAAAATAAAGCAGAGAGTTTCAGTTCTTTTATGAAATATTTTATTCAGCACATAAAATGTCGTGTTATTTGATTACCTAATTCCTTTTGCCTTAACAAAAACTGGGGGAAGAAGGGAAGAGGTGGCATTTGTTTGTGGGGTGCAGGGGGATGTGCTTGAAAACTTTTGGCCAAGTCCATTTTTTCCTGTTTTTCTCAGACTAGCAAACAAACTGGGAAAAATCACTTTCACCCAGTTCTGTTCCAGATATCAAAAGAAAATTTTGTTAACAGAGATACTGAATAAACAATTATGTAATGTAAATGCTGCATCCTGTACATTGTCTATATAGGAATGGGGACTTATGCTTTTGACATGAACAGTTCTCCAGGTCCAGAGTTCGCATGTGCCTTGCACTTGAGGAAGGAACTTCCTCCTGACTGCTTCGTCTTTTGGTCTGCCATACTGAAATATGAAAAATGGATGAAGTATACAAGATCTCTTCTACCGAGAAGGTCCAGCAGCTGGAAAGAGAACTAGCAGCACAGCTGGCAGAGCTGAAGGCAGAAATAGAAGACAATGGGGTGCTCCAGGGAACACCGAGTAGGGCATACAGGTAACAAGGATTTCTTGGGGAGTGAGGAAGAGTCAGATTATAGCAGTGTATTGTATTCTGTGGTGTTTTTTTTTCCCCATGATACAAATGTCATGTGTCTATGTAACTGTTCAACAGAGACCTGAATACACAAGTGGGAGCCAGGAATAACAGCTTTTTTTATTGCACATCTGCCACAGAACTACTGTTGAAATGAGAGTGAATACCTACATATTAAAAAAAACCAAAAACCCTAAAGCTGTTTTATGTTGTGTACCGCAAACATAACTTTAAATCTCTCAATAATGTCAAGTATTTCCTTCTTACACTGAAGAGGAAGTAGCTTCAAACATAATACCAGGGTGTATAAACAGGACAGCCACATGTAAGACAGCTGCTCTTACTTTCCTCAGCAGCAGTGAGATGTCAGCTATGGCAATGTACCCAGTTTTGGCATTTTGCTTCACGAAGGCTGTAGACCACCTGCAGAATATCTGGAGGAAAACAGAGTTCAGTAAGACTTGAGTAGGAGACTTGAAAAGGTGAAAGGAGCTGGGCTTATGTCTCCACTCCCGTTTTCTCTAGATTATAAGTCTTCAAACATATGGGAGGTTGCTGTGAAGAGGGAGGGAATAAACTTCTCTCAGTGTCCACTTATGAATAGGACAGAAAATAACAGGCAAAAGTTCAAACTGAGAACAACTTTTCAAGACAGTATTAATTAAACACTGATATTTTGTCTAGTCTGGGAGGTTGTTGACCATCCATAATTAGAGATCATTAAGAGCAGGTTAGACAAACACCTATACGGACTGAATTTTCTTTTTCCTGCCGTAGAGCAGTGGGAGAGCTGGATGCTCACAAAAAAAAAATCTCTTCCAGTACTAACTTTTTGTGGTGCAGTTTCCCATGTATCACTTCTGAACAAAATTCAGGAGCCCTTTTTTAAGGGTCCAGTTTTCACCTATGTATTTAATTCACATATGTTCACTTTGTTCACTTAAATAAAAATTTTGTACAACCTATTCTTGCTGTAAGTGTATTGATGCATGAAAGTTAAGAAATAGTTTTCCTCCAGAACTTTTTTATCCCCTCCTTTTGCCATATAGGCATATTAGGAAGGAAGTTCAATAAATTATGAAGTATGTTTAGTAAGGCATTCCACTACATAGGTAGGGGTTGTAATATTTACCATTCAAATGGACAATATCCAGATGGACTTTTTAAAGGCTTTAGCTAAAAAAATGGAGATGGAAGTAACCAGTCTGTGCCTTAAAATTTTGCCAGAAAGATGTCTTCTAATTAAATAAATTAATGCTGCTTTAATATAGGTTTTTCATACCACTGAACTTGTTGACTGTTGACTTTGCCATTTGAATTGTGTTGGGCCTGTCAAATGTTTGCTAATATCAAATTGTGTGTAACATCGTGTTGAACAATTTTTTTTTTTCAGTTCTGTTCCAATTCCGAAGGATGCATCTTATTTCAGAAAAGAAAGGGAGGTAATACTGAAGAAAGGCTTACAGGTAGTTGAAGAATACACTAACTGAAAATTCTCTTTGCTCTTCACCAAGTAATAACTGCAAATTAAAATCAGAGAAAGTGATATGTTTCTTAGAATGGAGGAGAGCCTGTAAGGACAAGGTGGGAAGGGTCATAATGTAGTTTACATATTAGTAAAACAGAATAACCTTTCTTTTATTTGGATAAGATTGGTCTAGCCATACCAGTAGTGTGGACCTGGCTGTGCAGCTTCTGTTTATGTGACTACTCCCAATTAAATTCAAAGCCTAAATATTTTTCTATATTTACAGTTTTTTAATGATATCTTTGAAAGATCTGTTCGACATGTAGCTACTCTATTTGCAGGTGGCTGAGGCAAAACCTCTTGTTATTCAGGCTGATGTCATGCAGAGGGAGTTAGAGAGCTGCTTGAGAAGGGAATATACGGCTGCAAACTTAGCTCTGCTGCTGCACCAGGTAGTATTTCTATTTGCTGCAAGGTTCCAAGAGATCTGCTTTAGCTTAGCAGGTTGTGGTATGATTTTAAAATGAGAATAAAATGAAATTCCTCCCTGAAAGCAGTCGTGACAGCATTAGTGCTTTCAGTTTAAAGCACTTCCTTGGATGATGTGAAAAATTCTATGATACTTTTGTTTGTTTAAAGAACAGGAATCCAAGCCAAATAAGATGGGCTGGATCAATATTCTTATATTTCTCTGATGCTTTTGATTTGTTCTGTGGGTTACTTTTATTTCCATTTTTAAAATGAAGTTCAAGAGTCTAGGTCCAGCAGACTGGATTCTACTATTTTTCTCATTTTTTCCATTCTCGTAATAATACTTTGTTCATGGGGACAGCTTAGAGGAAGTTCCCACTTAATGGATAAATAAAATAGTGCATTGGTCTTCAGTGACTGATAAACTATCATTTTGGTGTTATTCTCTGATGCTAATGGTGACCTGTACACTGCCTAAGTTTTGTGTAATGTCAAAATGCTGTTGTTTTCTTACATGTGATGTGCTGGTTATCTCTGATTTCGTTCAAGTTTTTTACAGACAGAATTACTGAGCTAGTCCAGTGTAAATATTTGCACATGCTTAGATGGAAGAGATTTTGTACACGCAGCAACGTTATTGAACAACTTTATCCTCTCTATCAGGTAGGAACAAAAAACTAGGCTCTAGCACATACATATTTATCACAGTATCCGTGCATTAAAAAACAAGATGTTAGCAATGGCTTTTTTCCAGCCAAATAATGCTACTAACGTTAAGGATAATTTATAAAACTCTGAAACTTTTAGATTTTGGTAGCTGTTACTGCAACATCTAAAGATGCTTTATCTAGTTTCAAGCAATGCAATACTTGCTTAGAATATCGTATCCCTGTCCTTCACCTGATAGTACAGAATACAGATATTCTGTGTGTTATAGGTCTGTAACTCCATTTCGCTGCAATTCTTATGGTTTATTTTAAAATATAAGCACTTGCAACCAAGCAGTGTCTCAAGTCCAGTTTAGGAAGATGGAGATTTGTTTTGTTTGGTTTGTTTTTTTTAATGCCTGCTTTAACTGTTCTTATTTATTGTATTTCAAACAACATGGCAGTCATTTTGCTTAGTTTAATGCCTGTAATTTTACAGGGTAAGTAGCTCTGGCTGCAGGGAAACCGAGCTCCCTTACAGGTGAAAAGTGGAGGTTTTTTTCAGTCAGACACAATAAAATGTCAAGCACAATAGCTTCAATTTTGTCGTGCCGTTATGTGAATATTCTTCTTTAGAATTGTGATTCCTAATTGTTAATGGAAATTTCTATTAAATCTTCCATTGGTCTGTATTGAAAATATCTTTTTTTTCCTGCTGCGTGAGGTTGTGTGGAAAGTTTACAACACTATCTTTTTTTTCTTGCTGAGTGAGGTTGTGTGGGTATTTTCAAAAATCTTTTGAATAGTTGTTTCTGAGTTTTCTCGTGGCTGTAGTTGCAGTAATCATGGTGACAGAGCTCGGTAATGAAGATGGTAGAGAGTTCCACCACCTTCCCATATGAGTTTAGTACTAAGAAACAGAACTGCCACTTGTGATTTGGGAAGTATATGATCTGAGACCAGGAGAGAGAGAAAGCGGATTTCTGTGACAGAAGCAGGGAAAGTAGAAAACTCTTCTATGCCTGATTATCCAGATCATGTGCCATTAACACTACTGCTGGAAGCCTAAAAAGGGCCAAAGGCAGTGACGTGGGAGGTAGAAATGGCTTTGCCCCCTGCTCACCACTGCTAACAAGGGTCTAGGCTCCTGGCTCTGGTACCCTGTGAGGGGTGAAGTGGAGAGAACTGTCCTGCTTTCGGAGCTCATTTCATGGTTGAGACGTTTAAAGTCCTCTCATTCCGTTTGCTAACAAGCAAAAAGCCTTTTCCTGCTGGGCAGACTGGCCCTGAAACTCTTCCATGGCTGAAGGCCTAATTTTGGAAGAACAAGAGCCAGATGTCAGTGTGACTCCTATGCCAGGGTTTTCCAACAGTCTTAGCAATTTTCAGGCTTTTAAAAATAATGTGAATTGGTAAACTATAACAGGAAAAACATTAATGGCAAAATGAGTTATGTTTTTTTCCAAAAAGGGGGGAGGGATGTTGAGCAGAAAATGGTAAAATCGTATTTTCAGTTCCAGACCAGCTCTGAATAGTTCCAGATGAGCTGGGGCTGCTGGTCCTGAGCCATTTCCTAATGTAAAATTCTCTAACAACATTAGCAAGACGTGCTTTCATAAAGAAAATTGCACTTTATTCATTCATTATTCATGTATTTCATTCTTAAAGGAGCTTATTGAGTTTGTATGTGAAGGGTCTCCTTTTTGCTGGTGCTACTTGAAGAGTCTGGCCTATTTAAATGTAGAAAATATGTTAAAGGATCACTGCATATTCTTAAACATTATTACTAATCTGTCTGTGTTGACACTTTGATGGCTGAGTATATTCTCAGCTATCTGCTTATGGTCAGCATTAATTGCTCGGAGAGATTCATTATCTAGACTGAAACTCACTTTTCCTCACTAGGTTGGAAATAGCATTCCTACTCCATTCCCAACCCTATCTACATAGGAAGGCAGTAAACTTTTGAGGTCATACTCTCAGACTAGGATTGCATATGCAGTGGGAGTGCAATGGCCTTCTAGTTAGTACAGGAAGAAAATGCACAAATGCAGAAATGACAGTGTCTCTTTTATAAACATAAACAGAAGCGAATTAGTCACATCATGGAGGAATACAGTGATGCAGTTCAGAGGGCTGCAAGACTTTCGGCTGCAAGGGAAACTTTCCTGACAGGAAAGAAAAATCCGGTGAATGTAGTGACACAGGAAGATATGATGATCTACACCCAGTGGTTAGTGTGTCACTTGCACTCTGTGAAGGGCATTCACCATTTTCTTCAGGTAAGACGAGCATTTTGAATGGTAAAGTGTAATTCCGCAACCTGCAAATCTTGGGGGGAAAAAAGTAAACCCAGAAATATGAAATTCAGTGTAAAAGTAGTCCAGAAGTTTGAAGGTACTGAACTAGATTCTGTTAGCAGACTGACTTTGTTAGAAAGGAATTAGCTAGATTCAGCTGTGTCACCAGAGTAAGTGGAACAATGAATCCTCTGGAAGCAGGGTGGATAGTGCAGGGTTGCTTGGTTTTGAGGTGACCTAAAATGGGAAGGAAGCAGCTTGGGGAGACTTTTCTTCCCTATTACTACTGTGATGGTGTTTAGGTAGAGCATGGCCCTATCAATGGACTGAGTCGTCTCAGTGAATAGTCTGCTTGTAGGCTTGAGGAGCATTCGTTTGCTTAAGAATGCAGCACATGTTGAAGACAAATCAGAATACTTCCTTATTGTACCTTGTTTCTGTTAAGATTTTATTACATGAGTGCTAAAAGTAACTCACTGTGACTAAACAATGCATAACTGTGGTTTAATTTTTTCTCTTTTATGTTTTATTTTATTACTAAATATCCAACTAAATAGTTTGTATGACTTCTACGTGACTGAGAATAATGATGGATATGTTTTTAACTCCAGGTTCTCCAGCATTTGCCTGTTTCTCGCAGAATGAATGTGGCTAGGGAGAAATGTCCTGATGTGGTCCAAGACAACTGGGACATGTTAAGAAGTGCTCTTTACAAGAATTCAGATATTTTTAACATTAATGTCTCTCTCTGCTCCAGAGTTATACAAAAAAATGGTGAGAAATGATCAACTTTCCTTCAAAACCACAAGTCCTACAGATAATGCATTTATTGATGTATACTCTTTGAGAGTGGTCAACAGTGCACATTTGGGAAGTACTGAATGCCATCCTTGGTTTGTATGCTTGAGAAATTTGGCATGTGGCTTTTAAAATCAGCCAGGCTCCTGGAAAAGACGATACCCAAATTCCAGAGCGTGGAGTTCTGAATCAGCAGTGGTGGCTTCTCTGGCCTTAGTAAGGTTTATGTTTGAGTAGTTTACTTTGCTGTCTGTGCATTGAGTCGCAGAAGGAGTCAGTTTAGAAGAACACGTGTGGAATCAGCTCGATGGAGATTCCAGGATGTTGTTCAGATTATGCCAAGCCCTGAAACTCACCTTTCCAATCTTCTGAAAAAATATTACTTAAAATATTTCTGTAGATGTTCTGTTTCTGGAGGGATACCTTGGTATGCATCTTTAAAGAACGAATCTCTAGAAAAATCTGTTTGCGGTTATTTTCAATTTCTCTTTGCTTCTGGAGAAAGGGAGGAAGTGATATTGCTATGTAGAGTTACCCATGTGAGTGGCTCTTCAGCAAGCAAGGCAGTATCCTTGTTCCAAAGTGTTTAAATCCTGTGATTTAATCTGTGCTTTTTCCACACTGTTCTTACTGTGTCTAAACTGTAGGAGCCCACGGGATCGTCTCTGGAAGAGTACAGTTCCTGCTTCTCTCTTGGGGAGAGGCAAGGTGTTGTGCCTCCTCCTTGCAGTTGGAAAGTGGGCTGCCCAGGGTTTAGGAATAAAAAGAGACTGTAGCTTGTCTTCCCTGTTCCCTCTCTCTGTTGAAAGCCTCTAGCACAGGGGAGCCCCGTGTACCTGTGGGTCGGCACAGGGGAGCAGGGCACAACCGTGGCCTGGAGCAGCACTGCCCTAAGAGTGATGACTGGATCACTGGGATCACAGAAGCCTTATGCCTTCCTGTAGTTCCCTGCATTTGCTCTGTGCTAATCTGGGGAGGTTGCTAGCAGGTCAGGAACTCCTCTAGCCCTGCTGCCTGCCAGGGCACTAAAGACTGACAGATGTCTGCTAGGATTGTTCCCTGCTCTTTCTCTATCTCTCTCTCTCTCGCTCTTTCTCTCTCTCATGGATACTTGCTATTTTTCTCCTGTCAATCCTGTCCTGTTGTTGGTCTGAGGGGAGCTGAGTAGCAAAGTAGGATATTTCCTGGTTGACGTTTGTATAATTAAGACTGCATTTTTGAAGGAAGGGCAAGAGTGTGATCTTGGAGCTGATTTTACAGCTGGCAGAGAATCATTTATGAGTATGAGAATATATCTTTTAAATTATTCTTTTTTCTCTCTCTCCCTCTGAATTTCAGCACTCGCCCCTGTGTCTAGAAGGCCATTATTTTGTAACCTGCAATGTGTTATAGAGTTCGCCTGAGCCATTCTTTTTGCAAGGGAATAGACTCTTATTGGTATTAAAAAGCAACTCGGAAGTGATGCAGCTCATTTTGATCCTCACTATGTAGTTATCTAGCGATTGTGTACAGTATCATATTAACATCATAAGCTTCACTCATCTCCGGATCTGAGCTTCATAGATGAAACAACAAAATGATTAAGCAAGACATTGTAAGCAAAGATGAAGCAAAGCAGAGAATAGAAACGCAGATGGCCCTTTATTGCTGAAGCAATGAGATAATAAATTGGATTACATGTAGCTTCACCAAACTCCACAAGTTTTGCTGAACTTTAGAAAATTGTAATTTGCCCTTAGGATCTTTGCATAGGTCATCAGTACTGTGAGTAAAGAAGAATTAGTTGGTATTTATTCAGACTTTCAAAAATCTTAGGAAAAGAAGCAGCAGATAAAGTATTGTTGTTTGTTATAGCTTGGCCTGGAAACAAAAAAACCCAAGCAATAGGAATAACAGTCAATTTCCTGTATAAAAAGACGATGGCACGCCATGAACTCTAAGATTCTATGTTAAAACCAGTGTTAAACTTACTTATCAAAGAACTTAAGAAGAGGTGACAAGATGACAAAACTTACAGGAACACAATAGTTTTGGCTGTTCAAAGATGAAGGAATACCAGTATCCTCCAAAGCTTTCACCAAGCCTGAGACAAGGTGAAGGAGGAGGAGAAAACATTTCCGTTCTGCTAAAAAAGGATGCTGTGTTGCAGACAGACTCTTCAGCATAGACACCAGGGCAGGTTCAGCCAGTCCTGTGCGCCCTTGTTTCGGAAGTTTGTGATAGCAGCATCATGTCAGTATCAGATATAGGAGGAGTGATAACCCTAAAATAGTAACACACTTGAAATTCTTGTGGAGCTTGAAGATCTGGGAGATATGTGTGTGAGACAGATGTAGTACACACCCTGAGTTACAACTCTTTGTTCAGGCAGTAGGATTTGCTAGTTGATGTGCTTTCCATTCTAGAAGATAATCACTCTTTCAAGAACCACGGAGGTGCGCGGACCTGCAGCGGCTGTTAGTCTTTCGAGGTCTAGCGGAGGGCCCTTTTGTAAAAGAAAATGAAAATAATGAAAAAATCCATATGAATGTGTTGGATTTTTTCCTCCATGTCACAGTCCATTCTCTGACATATTTCTACTTCAGGACAAAAAAGGGCACTGATGGTATTGCTTACAGTCATGTTGCTAAAAATGTTGACATTCTGCACCTAGTCTAATTATGGCCTCTTGCAGAATCCTGCTGCAAGGACGCTGGATCCACTTTACCCCAGCACAGCACTGAAACAGAGGAGCTGAAACCTCAGCTCCAGCTTCTGCTTGCTCACTTTGACATCAACTACAGCCTTAAGGATCTGAAGAATTCAGCTGATGAGATGGAGCTCTTTTTCCTGGTAACTGAAGAGTGCTTCTCAATATTAAATATATACATACATATATGTATACATATATACACACACACACACACACACACACATATATATATATAGCTTTAAAGATATCAGTAGACATTCCAGTTACTATAACTCAGTGTTTTACATTACAAAATAATAAGATCCTGGGCATTTTTAGTTTTGACAGGATGTGGCAGAAAGGCCTGGATCGCTTCCACTAAGCTATAGCAACTGCTGAAAGTACCACAGCATTCATACTTTTCACGTTATTACTCTGAGTCCACGTCTTTATTCTCCTAGCTCTCACTCAGGCCTTTTATGTGTCTTTCTTGAGTTTTCCTGCCCTCGTGTTATAGCATATCACAGACCTGTTGTATTTCCGCTAGAGGTCGGCCTTCTACACACCATTGTAAAGGACCTCACCAAGCCTCTGCCGCTCAGGGGTTATCAGCAAAACAGCTGTGCTTTTCACCTGTTACCTGACTTCAAAGGCCAAACCAACCAAAAATCTCCATCATCTGTTCAGAGTGCGAGAGATGCATAGAAGTTAAACGTAAATAACATATTGCTTATAAATACAGACATCATCTTATAAATCATGCCTTTTTTTCAACCAGGTGGTAGAGCTGAAAAGGACAAAGTTTTGGAGATGTAAGTTGTTTTGTAAGTCTATACTCAAATTAACGTTTGACTAGTCCAACTCAACTCACCGGAACGATCCAAGATAAGGACAGGCAGAAGTGTTTGCACAACTGGGCAATACTGTACCTTGCTTTATTGTAAATTTCCTTCTAAATTACCTTTATTGTGGACCAGCAGTGGCTTACTCCTTTTTGGACAGGATGCTCATAGAGCTTATTCTAGGCTAATATTGTTCCCATCAAAGCTGACAATAATAAATTTCCCATTGACGATAAGTATTTTTGGAAATCCTACTCATATCTTTGGAGGCTCCAGAGTTAACAGCAGGGAGTTTTATTGTGTCTGCTGGAGAGGAAACATAGGATCAGAATGTGCCCTTTGTCATTTTATGACTTGACTTTTTTTTTCCAGCTGGTAATATACGTTATTACTTTGTTCGGGGATTTAATGTCCTGCTTGTGAAATTTATAACACTACCTTCTCCTTTTATGCTTTAGGTTGTCCAGAAATTTAGAAGCATCTTCTGCAAACAGCAGACAATGAGGACATTTCCTGTTTATGATGCAGAGGTTTCTAGATCAGAAAACTGGGGCATGTTAGATCCAACTAGGGCTTTGAAAAAAAGAGCTAACTGGATTCCTTTTTTAAGGGTAAATATGAGGAATTTTCCTTTTTTAGTTGTGTTAGTAAAAAGTCATAACCACTCTTTAGAGTGTACCAACATATTTCTGCAATTAAATTCTAAAATGCATCCTTTGAGAAATACAGAGTGATAGTTCTTGTATAATTCGAGGCTTATCTAACTACTGTTGTACTGTGTGGCCAAGAGCCACTTTTTTTGTGTATCTTGAAAATAAAAAGAAAAAGTGAATATATTCCACTTTCCCACTAAATATTGCCTCCTGTACAAAAAGCGTGTAGTAATAGTCATACATTTTGTGATTACTTTTATATCAACCAGATTAAGCCTAAAGTAGATCCCTGGCAGCAAAAACTTTTGATAAAACTGAAACAGTGGAAGAAAGTGGATAAGCTGATGGACCTTCATTCAAAATTTGTAGAGGTAATATAACTTCTCATTTAAAAAAATCACTTTCTTTTTTTTTTGGACACTTTCAGGGAAATCGAAATGCCTAGAGAGAGGTGGCCTTGGGTTTATATATCATATTCATATGCCTGAATTCATTAAAGGTCCCTTAGTGAGCTGTTAGAAGGAGTTTTTCCCTCTCTTAATTCATTTTAGGGCTACAAAACTACAAAGCTTGAATACTTGCGTAAATCTTCAAAAGCTCTGAGGTTCACCTAAGTCATGTCAGAGTTAGCCTTGGAATTTGTCTGTGTTATACCCCAATGTCAAAGGCATTGCTTAGAACAGTTTTTCTTAATGTGACCGCATTCAGATCTGTGGTGAAAAGACAAGGCAAGATGCTCCAAAAGTGAGGCACAAGTCTAAAACTCAGGAGGGCACAGTACAGACTGCCTGTGTGTCAGGGAGAGGTAACTGAATGTCTCTGAATTTCCGTTCTGGTTTTACAAGTTCTCTTGATTCTGGTGAGAGGTGGCTGTTTGCAGGATGTCCTGCAGCCCAGCCCTGCTCTGGCGGGGCTGTCTGCCATGCAGCATCCTTGGACAACTGTCAGTTTTCATTCACAGATCAGGCTTGCTTTGCATCCACAGAGAGTTTGAGGCACCCATAGCACCTCAAATCATTTCCTTGCTTTGTGTGGCCAGGTGTAAAATGTAGTATTTGTGTCCTAATTGCATCATATTTACTGAATGTACCCTATAGGGCTAACTTGCATATGCCCGGTAGCCTCTGCACATTCACACCTACTGCAGATACATAGATGAACTGTAGGGTGTGATAGTTTGCTCAGGTGTACTGGAGTGCTACCACATTTTTCCTGTGAAATTTTAGCTGGTCTGGCATCCTCATCTGTAAAACTGGGGTAACAGGCGTTCTCTGTCTCTCACAGGATGATGACAGTTAATACACTTAAGGCAGTGAGCTACGGTAGAATTAGGACCATATAAATATCTCAGCCAGCAAAACTTACCTGTCAATCAGATGGTGGGAATATTACATCTCATTCCCCTGGTGAGGCCATAAGCAGTAACAACGCTTTGTAGTTCAGCTTCCAGTTTTATACAGAACTAGAAAGAGTGCCCTCCGTCCCCCTGAAGCTGTGAAGTTGTACCACTCGCTGCCCTCTACTATCAGTAATCACGTTCCTGGCGAATGCGATTGATTGAGGTGGCTGTTCCTTCCTTCAGTATCAAGATGGTCTCAGGTATACCAGGGCAGCCTAAGCCCTGCTTGCAGCCCCTGTGAGGCTGATTCCTTGGTCTCCTTTCCCCAAGGCAGTCTACCCAAATACCTCTGTCCTCAGACTCAAAGAGCCCTGCCATCTAGGAAGCAGAGAGTGGGCTTGTTGTAGAGCCCCTCATAATGCTATGTACAGGTTTGAGTTGCAGGCAAGTTTTGTTTCAGCACCCTTGCAGGTTGTCGCCCTCCCCAGGGTGGCAACCCAGGGGGTGCTGGCCTGAGGGAGAAGGAAGCTTCCCATCTGCATGGGGACTGTGGAAGGCACAGGGCAGAATAGGGGAATGGGCGTCAAAAAAGCAACCAAAGCAATGCGAGAAAGCCTGGAAACGAGCAGAAGCAGACAGTGCCAGCTCAGCAGGGCAGACCTCTCTCGGTGCTGGAGCCACAAACAGGCTCCGGCAGTGGTGCCTCCTCCAGAGCTGGCTGCTAGACTGCGACATCCCTTGCTTAAGACCCCATCAGCCTCCTGCCTCCTCTTTAGGCAACTACTTGCTTTGCCTGCACCTGAAGCTGGCCTCAGTAAAAATCATGAAAGTGAGCATTAGTAAGCAGGTTCTGATGGGCTGAAGCCAAGAGGAAAATTAGTGCTGGAGCAAACTACCCAGCGGCTGAGGAAAAGGAAAACGGAGGCTGCTTGCTTTCCACCTCTGCTCACCTTCTCCAGTCCTCTTTCCACTGCTGGTAGCATTATGTCTATGGAAATGACTTCTAATTTTGTGTTTCGGTCTCTAACACTGTTAAAAATAAGCATGACTCTAAGGAAAGAAAAGGTAAATTTAGAAATATACCAGGTGCTTGACAGTAGAGCTCCTGATTGAAGCAGTGTGCTAGTACAGAGTTAGTAAGAGATCAGATCATGCTGACACCCAACAAAAAAGAATGCAAATGAAAAAAAAAATACTGGGGAAATGAATGAAAAAAACCATTTAAATAGGGTTTGATGTTTAATTTACTTTTTTGTTAAAGGCACTTACTCCCCCACCCTCATGTTATTTTTTTAGTTATTTGCTCCTCCTTTGTCTAACTCACTGTGTTAAGCAAGGTTTGGATTTTTTTTTGACTTTTCAGCAGTTTCATTCAAAACAGATGATAAAAAACAGTCCTATAAAACACCCAGTCTTAGTCCCCCTAGATTTGCTGTGAATGTTATGGTAGGATTTTTATCAACAGAACTTTATTGAGGCTAATAATTGCTAAAGTATGACCATCCTCTTTAAATTATACTTTAGGTACAAGTGACAATTAAAAAAAAGAAAGTGTAAGATGAGATATGCTTTTTAAAAACTACTTTTGTATTACTACTAATTTTATTTAGCCTGTTTTTTTGGAAGTACTCTAAATATGTAGTCTCCCTGGTTCCCATTTAAAATCCACTACTTTCTTTACGTGCATGGGTCTCTCATGAAGCATGTAAGAGAGAATTTTTTTTTTAAATGCATATATCAGAAAGTGGATGTGCAGACTTTGCAGCCAAAGCTGGCTTTAAAACATTTTAAAGAATTGAATGGTTTTCATTTTGATGATGTTCTCTTAAGAAAAAAGGAGATTAGGAATTTACTATAGTTTTTCTTTATTTAGGACTGAAATAAGCTTTCTTTTATGATCCTAATTTTCAGACCTTTTCCCCATGCCAGATATTTCACAAAGAAACCATTCTTTCAAATCTTGCCACGGCATATATTTTTTCTGGAAAGCTTGAGCAAAAGCCATCGTCATCGGTAACAAGAGCACAAAATGGCCTTGCAGCTCACTGAGACAATGAAAGAAATCACCTTCCTGACTTTTTCCATAATGGCTTGCTCAGCAAATTTGCTATTTTTGGATTTGGTCAGGAAACATGTACATCTTAAGGATGAGGGATAAAAGGAAAGGAGAGAGGTACTACCTAGTAGTCGCACCCCTCCATACATCTTAGGAGAAAAGGACACTTTTGTATCCTGGACTGTCTGGTGCATTCCCTCAGTATGCAGTGAGTGACTTCACTATGATAGTGAAGTCCTTTCCTACATTTTTGCCTTGGGAAGTGGGCAGCAGACAGCTTATCTGTATAAAGGAGAAGCAATAATGAGCGCTGCTGCAAAACCTTACTAAATTTTCTACGCTTGACCCTGGCTTGCTGTGGGAGGGCAGGTGGTAAGCTGACTCGTTTGCCTTGTGAATCTTTCATCTGTATTTGATGTGATTTGAAACAAGGTCTCAGATGTGGAGAGGGTGATGGAGGTTCTCCAGGAGCATGCAGCAGCGGTGCTTGAATCACGTCCTTTGTCATCAAGTTATGCGACTTCTTCTCATGCCTCGGGACAACATAGCTATGATCATGTTTGGAAGGGAATCTGTGCCCTTGGCGAGCTCCAGCAGGTACTCGGAAGGGGGAAATGATGAGTAATGGTCAAGTGACATGTTTAGCAAGAATTTGTCGATTCTAATAGAGAATCTTTAACAGATTTCTGTTTGGATACCAGCGTCCTCCTTTTTCAAAATTCGTCTCCCTCTATTGCTGCATGTGGGAGCTGAACAGGATCTGCCGAGCTGCAGCGTACACATCTGCATCCAAACTGCTGCACATGATGTCCTCTCCTCCCTGGGGCTCACAAATCATAAGCACAGGTGGTGTAAGCTTGCACTGACCTACAGGACAATGTGCAAACCTTTCTGTAGCAGGACTGGGGTTTGGATTTGGCTGCAGGAAATAGAAGTGTGCCCTGGTATTTACTGCAGTGTGGTGTTAGGGTAGCATGTGTGTATGGAGTGAAGGGGAGGAAGGATCACAGCGTGATCCTTGGGTTGCTGGAGGCCATCTAACAATTCAGCACTGGTGAATGTAACAGAAGATATCTTGCTTTTTACACAGGCAGATGTGATAGCAAGTTCCTCTTTTCAAAGTAGGAAGTGGCATTTGTGGGCGCTGAATCTTAAGAAGATTCAGTAGCTGTGAGAACAGAAGATATGAGAGATCTTCAAAGTTTTGAGAGGAAAAAAAACAAATGGCTTAACTGACAGGGCAGTGAATGAGAAATTGGGCCTGCCTCTCTGGTACCTGATGGATTTGCAGAGACTGTGACATTCCTTACCTGGCAAGTTCGAGGTCTGTGATAAATCTTTTGAGTTTGAAGGTATTCCTCTGATGGAGATGAAATGTTATTACCTATTTCTTTATCATCCTTCTCATTCAGAAGCTGTTCACAGCTGATGTTTTAAGAAATGGAAAAGTATTATACAGAGAGCTTTTTAATCTCAGAACTTCCTGTATCTGGATTTGGATGCCTCATTTGGCTTTCTGTGCCAATGTCCAGTGGCCTGTGAGAGCGGGCCCTAATGGCACGTTGAGAATGGACTGAATATTCTCTTTGCTTCCCTGTTGTCTTTTAAAGAGGAAAGGCCTCTGGTACTGTGGCTAGATGCAGCCAAAATGTTAATGAAAAGGTCCTACATCCCTGCCCTTGGCCAGGACCAAGCAGGGCTGCGGGTGATACTAGAGCAGGGAAAAAGGGGACAGGGAGAAAGACATTGTTTAATCTCTCCCCATTCCCTCTTTGCTGATGATTAATCTGCTTCAAGACTGATGCTAGTTCAGTACTTAGAAATAAACCAACAGTTTTTGGCAGGAAAGGCTCCCACATGTGAAAACGTGCCGTGTTTCTTACCTCAGATTGACTTTTACCCAGGATACAGGAAATATTTGGTCACTTAATGAAAACTCCAGGAAAAATACATTGGGTTGACTCAAGCAAACTACATGATGATTAATTAAAAAAAAAAATTGCACTGTACATCTGCTATCAAGTAAACTGAGTCCATGATTGGGATTGAGCATGTATCTGGGGACAATACAGGCTACATTACTGATTGTAGCAGCATTAGAGTAATTAAAAATCAAATTTTGAAACCAGTCTTCTTGTGATGGTATTGTAAGACTAGAATTAGATCCTTCACAAGAAAAGCACTATCTAGGTGTCAGTGTTTTTAAAATAAAAAATCAGCTGTTACCTAAAAATGTAACATCTCACTTTTTTCCTCATTTCACTGACCTTTTTCAGACAGCATTTTCTGTTTCATTTTTAGTGGAAATGCTTCATCCCACTTGTAGTCCAAATACTTGCTGTGATGTTTAGCAGACATGTAGAGTCAATGGTGTTGGTCCAGGAAAATATACTTTAATTCTGTTTGACCTTACATTGTTTTAAATAATAGAGATTGTAGGACCTATTTTTTTCCAAAATGTAAAACACTAAACATTCTTTGGAATCAGTGAGGACAGAATGAGAAAGATGATCATGTTGGGAGTAAGGTCAGAGTGTGGTAATCGATTGTTGCATGGATTATGTAAAGAATTCAGTGTCTGACAGTTTTTCAAGATCTGTTTGGCCTGAAAGACTTTTTTGGAGGGGGATATATTGTGTGAACGTGCAAGTTTAAAAACAGATAACAAGGTCCCAAGTTTATCTGCATCTGATTTATGTGTACCATTGCTGGATTGTCGCAGTTTGGACAGGATAAATTTGACAAGCACCAGTTTGTGAAGATGTATTGACAGGATTCTTTATAATCATAAAATCCAATGCCAGTATTGGTGCTATAAAACTCTTAACACACTGAAAAGAACTGCGGGTTATACTGTCCAAATTCGAATAAAGTAGTAAAATAAATTGGGATAGAGAAGTCGATTAAGAGGACAAGTTTTTCTTACATACTTGATTGTTTGCAGAAATTAATTACTTAACTCCTAATAAATTACTATCCTTAACATCCACAATTAATAAATACTGTATGACTGATAGTGATCTTCTCATTTACACTGGTGCTAATGCCAATTTACTTTCACTGATGTTGATGGAGTAGCTGCTGATTTATGTTAGGAGCTCTTGATGCAGACAATACCTAGACAAGTATACCTATTTTGCTGCTTGCTGCTGCTCTTCTACTGTTTGTACTACATTGTTGAATGTGCTGGAAAAGAGTGAGGAAAAAACCACCAAAGTTTAATGTTACAAAGTGTTAACCACGGTCTTTAAAATATACTTGTGTTGGGGATCAGGGAAGGCATGAGAAATTAAATGTTTCTAATTGCTAGTAGTCTTCTGCAATATGGAGCCTTCATTTGTGTGTCTGTGTGTGGGGGTCGGAGTGGGAAGAAGAGAAGATCTTTAGGATGCTTTTCAGTAGATATTTTTCATTAGATACAAGTGGCTACATAACATCGTGTTGGCCTTCCTCCTGGCTGAAGTGGAAAACCTTGGCTTGGACTTCTGAATTTCAGCTGCAAATTACTAAAATATTAGCTTAATTCAAAACAGGTTTTATCTTTACAATAGATAGAATCGCATAAGTACATCTTGTGTAACAGGTTTTGTTTGTTTGTTTGTTTGTTTTGCTTTTGCATTTTGCATTTTGCTCTTGTTTTGTATCTGGCTTCCTGAAAAAGTGAGATTATTTTCTGAGCTGGCTGTCTGTAAGTTCCCTGTAGACAACCTTTGAATTCATTGGGCAATCTGGATGAAATTTGATATCGTCATATGCGTCTTGGTAAGATTAAATAAAACCAATTTTATTAACACATGTTGCTTAAGAAAAGGGAAAGACCGTTCAGCCCTTAAACATTCTGAGCGGCAGAAGCTGGTAAGCCAGTCAGCATATATGTAGGTAGTTATGTAGCTCCAAAGGGAGCTTTAAACGAGCAGAAGCAAACTTTTTGTTTAGGCTGAAGATGGAAGAAGGAGCTTGTACGCTCCTTTTATGGCCATACTTATTGTACTCTGTTTTTCTAAATAAAAGACTGAAAATCATTGCTCTAATCATTGTTGCTCTGATGAGTGCTCTTATTTTGTGATACATCCTTACAGGAAGGATGCCCTAAAAGGGAAATGCTAAATAAT